TATAGTAACGAAGTAAAATGTTTTTGTCGGATGTTTAACCGTCGCACATGTTCAAAACACAAAAAATTATGTGTAAGCATAGTCCAGAACTGGACCCTCTTTTCTCAATTACTATAGATAATATTCTATGTAAAAGTTAAAAATCCAAAGCGCGCGCTAAAGAAAATTCTATCGTGACCGTTGAGAACGCTGATTCAAAATAATAGTTTTCAACTCCGCGCGCGCAAGGATAAAAGAGGGTCCAGTTCTGGACTAGTGTAAGCATAGACTATCGTGAGCGCGTCGAAGTCACTGACCAAACAGAAACAGTTTCTACGTGGGGAGGGGGGCGGGGGGTAGTCAAGGGTAAGCTTATATATAGGGATGGCGGTTTATAGAGCTTTTAAAAAGCTTGGGAAGGGGGGGGGGGCAGCCCAACTTAATCCCCCCGTCTGCGCCGCCCCTGCTAAACCGTTCCATTTCTTAAATTTTTGTTTAAACGTTTTCTTATCTTATCTTATACTTATAAAGTACATTTTGCATAATGGAATAACACAATAATGAATATTTTCTGGGATCTTTTGAACTTAGTATTGCATTCGTTGTGTCTAGAATATTGTCATGTGTAGGGGAGCTCTGTTTACACTTAGGAAATAATAGTATAATGCTATTAGTTCGCAAGCATATTTTAGTATTTTGGTCTGAAGTTCTTCAAAGTTTGGTCTAATTGCGCACATTCAATCCGTAACTCCGAAAATATAGGTCATGAAATGTTGCACTTCCGAAGCAGTAAATAAATAAGAGTAAATACACCATTGAAGTAACTGTATTTATTTTGGCTTTTTTTCCTTTTTTTCGAACTTAGAAAGCCGAAAATATCTGAAATATATATGGAAGCTGAAATCGTGGTCGGTCAGAATTTTCTATTAGAACCAAATTGAGTCAATAGGTCCTCAATCTCTCTTGATTTAGTTTCAGGGATTTTTTAGGCAACTTGTTGTTGTCAATGAACGGCGATCCATCCATCTGCAATGTTTTTTTTTATTAAAAAGTGAATTTTACTTGATATTTTGTAAGAATTGAAAAGACAATATTTCTCTTTTGCATGCGGTGAGCTCAATAACAATGTCAACTTACTGGTGTTTTTGAAGTATCTTGTTTTCCTTGGTTTTCAGCCAAGTAAAAGTTGGAAGACATAAGTAAAAAAAGAGAAAAATTGGCTTGTGATATGTATTTTACACCTCGAGCGCCAAAATATCAATTGATTTGACAGCCATGTTTACTGCTAACCTACACAAAATTTTAATTTTTGCTACATCCCTCATCTTAAATACCCCTGTCTTACAATATCATATTTAGTCAATAAATATCATCGAAATCGTCAACRTGCGTAAACTATGTGCATTTATCGCACAAGGGCTCACATCGCTGATGTAAATGTTGCAAATTCGTTTTTCTCGAGAATCCTATTCAATAGAACCACCCTATGGACATATCCACTGCGGTCCAGTCTTACTTGTATCACGTTTTGGTTGCTTATAGTGCCTGTCACCAGGTAATCGAACTGACTCGAACAATATACAGTGTTGATATTCATWSACAYGCTGTGATCACATCACTAGGCAAATCGTTAGAGAACTCAAAAATCCGAGTTAGAATACCAATATGATTGTCCACTTCTGACGGATTCGGGATGCAAGTTAGCAAACAAGGACATTACATCTTTGGTAAACTGCTTTTTATCAGGGCTTTTCTTTTAATGAACTGTTCAGTTTTTGATCAATGACAAAAAAAATTGCATACACAAATAAACTGGGCACCTGCCTTTGTTATAGCGCCATAAACATGGCGGACTACATTAGAGCAATATATGACCCGGACTGTATTCATGAGAATAGACTTAGTATTGGTTTGATGGGTCAGTCATAATAGTTCAACACCCATAAGTAAATAACGCTTAAGTTTGGGATATTTATAGAGACAAATGAATGGGTTGCATTGTCTTCCAGCGTTTATTTGACTGCACGAATGGGTGGCATTGTCTTCCAGCGTTTATTTAACTGCACGAATGGGTGGCATTGTCTTCCAGCGGCGTTTATTTAACTGCACGTACAGCTTTTATCAATGAAAGTTAAATCAGAAAACTATGCAAATATATGATATTTGCCAAACTCTCTTTTTGGAGTAGTTTCCATCGGACTCACTACAGCAATAAAACAGTACTACACAGCTAGTTAGTGTATTATTCTAACTAAGGATAACAATGGAATTATAGGTGTATATATCTATTAGCTTAGTAGCTTGATTAAAAATCGCTAAACTATCTATTGAACTCTATGGCACCGTGGCCAGTCATTAGATTTTGTTTTAGCGATGGTGAAAACACCGATAAATCCGAAATCTAAGTGGAAATCTGGTTATGGTAAATGTAATAGACAGGCAGTATCGCGTCGAGGACAAAACAGAGCAAAGGAAGTGCAATTATTGATTAGTGTAATCATTATTTTTTTTAGTTTATGCTCGCTCTAATAATATCTAGTTTTACCACCTGCTTTGAGCTTCATTGTTTTATCTTTAAATTGTCTTGTTTTATAAGCATGGCAAACCCATTACTATTCTGAGAGGGTGTGCATATATCAGAGTCGTTGGTGGAGCAACGCGCGCACCTGCCACTGGATACCTTTCTATAGATAATACCAAAACTAGCACCTTGTTTACGGCACCAGCTACCTACAAGCCTACTTTAACAAATGCTTTAATCAATCTTGCATCACCTCGTAATTAGTGGAAAACCTATCTGTTCATTCAAACAATACTAATGGCTCATAGGATACTTTCTTTATAAAAAACTGACTGGCAGGCGCTGTTTTTGATTAAAAGACTAATCACAAAAAGAGCGTATGGAAGATGATAGTTTATAAAAGCATTCAACTCAGCCTGTTTTGCCTCTGATCAATCATTTGTCCAACGTCTATCCGTTCACATCGAACATATCAGTATTCCTGCCAAAATTGTTTTTTAATGACACCGACAGAGAGGAAGCGCCAAGGTGAAGTATCTAGTATAAATTATTTCGAAAACTTTGTCCCAAAGATAGCATCAATTAGACAAATAGTAAATAAATATATGTTCCAGAATGCACATAAAAACGATTAGTGAATACGAGCCCATAAAACTGTAATAGGCTTTACCGACGCAGTATTTCTAGAAAAAGTTTGTTTTAATTGGATTTAAGCGTTCATATATGTTGCGAGGTAAACCGTCTGCCATGTTTTTCTCAAAAACATTCTAGATCAAATTTACAAGGAATTTAAAAGAAATTCATGTGAACGAGGGCACCAAACACGTGACACCTACGTCCACGCTGGCAACCCTTTAATAAGGCAACCTCACATCTCAAGGATTCACATCGTTAACAGGTTGATGCGACGATGAACGGCTCACAAGAAAACGCTTCGTCCATTAGTGACGGCATTTCAAGCGACATCACCATTGCTAAAATCTTCCTTTACAGTGTGATTCTCATTTGGTCACTGCTTGGCAACATTCTTGTCATTGTTGCCATTCTCAAAAACAGTGGTTTAAAAACGAACTTCAACTATTTGATAGTTAACATGGCCGTTTCGGACTTGATAATACCTTGTTTGGCACTTCCAATGAAGATTGCCGATGCAAACGTGCGTCCTTATGAATGGTTGGTAGACGGACAACTGGGGAGCTTTTTGTGTAAAATGTGCTATTTTGTGGCTGATATTTCCACTGCAGTGTCGGCATTTAGTCTCGTCATTATTGCAGCCAATCGTTTTTTCGCCATAGCATTCCCCATGCGAGGGAGATTGTCAAAAACCAAAACGCTGAGACTCATTTCTTTGACATGGATTTTGGCTGTGATGTTGCTTTCTCCATATCTCTACACGTATCAAATTGAAGATGGGTATGGATGGACAATGTGCTTAAGTACATGGTCTCCTGCCTTTGATGATGCCGTTTCTGAGGCAATCTTCACTGTGTTTGTCATTGCTGTAGTCTTTGCACTTCCATGTTTTGCAATCACCATCTTTTATTCGTTGATGCTGTGCAAACTACGACAGAATTCCAACAACATGGCGTACATGCTTAATCAAGAACAGTACAAGCGACGACGACAAAAAGACAAAAACATTTTCATCATGACTGTTGTCATCATGCTTCTCTACATGTTTCTGTGGGGGCCGTTTTTCTGTACTTTAATTATTTTAACCTTCTTTGTACATGTAAACAATGACAATGAGCACAGCGTGCAGACGGTTATAGTGACTGTCCAGTATCTTGGTTATCTCAACTCAGCCGTAAACCCCTGCGTGTACTTTTACTTTTTGAAAAACCTTCGACAAGGAGCGAAGAAGCTATTTTTAAAGACGTCTTGGAGAAGAAGCACAACAGATTCGACCGTGCACATTACAACTTTCCGTTCCAGAGTTACAAGTTTACGCGGACGACGCACCTCCATGAAGACATCCGAGGTATAACGAGACTAAGATTCCTGCATTGTTCCCAATTTCAAACAAACTATGTGCTTATTAAGATAAAAAAAAAACGCTTACAAAAATAAAAAGATGTGTAAAGTCACAATTATTGTTACCATAATATTTGTAGATCAGTTAATATCCAAGCACGTGTTTAGAGGCTCGAATAATAGAAACGAAAAAACCGGTGGGAGGCCAAGTGTTGCATTTGCATACACACTTGAATGACTTTTAAAGTGATGTTTCAGTATTGTTTTTGTAAATAAACGTGTTCACTTAACAGGCATGTTTAAGTATTTACTCGGTTAATAATAGCTTAAGGCAATAGCTAGAAGATCAACGACGTTGTAATAGTTGCACTTTGAATGAGCCATCAGAACTGAGATCATGTACAACCAACACCAGGTGTGCTAGTTTCTGTTTGTCAGTGCAGACTATCTTTTAGTTTAATTATTGGCTTAATTGATGATTCATTCATGTATTCACGAATCATATTTGAATGTTAACTTTGACAGCCAAGACGAGGTGGCAAAGGGTTCCAAAATTTGTTGCAGTTTGAAGGCAAAAGGAAACGATTGTAAAATTTTACAAGTATTATTTTGGATTCACTCCGAACAAACTGTTGTACTATCCGAAAATGCGTTATCCTATTGATTTGGCAAAGAAAGCCTCACATCTCACGGCTTTGTCTGCAGAGGATGGCATAGGAAGGGGGATTCCGGAAGGACGAAGGCATAGGAAGGGGGATCCCGGAAGGACGAAGGCATAGGAAGGGGGATTCCGGAAGGACGAAGGCATAGGAAGGGGGATTCCGGATGAACTCCTGGAACCCCTCCTGCGCATACCCCTAAAAACTGCAAGGCGCATGTGCATGGATAGCACTACTTACAGTTAAGCTGTAATTTTGATTTTAAACAGGACCACTTCAGGATAAATAGAATTTCCAAATCATTTGCTTGTAAATAATGTATAGAAATCTCAGCTCCATTTTGTATGATTTAGGTTTACTATATTAATAATAATGATAATAAGCATCTATATAGCGCTTATTCCCTTTGGTCCATTAGCAGAGTTACACGATAAGAATATAGAGCGAAACCTAGCAAATTACTTATAATTATTCTATATAATTCGCAGAAAAATGCCGGTATGAAAAGAATTTAATATAGTAAAAGGCAACACCCATTATTCAAGTACATTTTTACCAAAGATTATAACTCAATCAAGAATCATTTTTAGTCCTTTTAGTTTTATCATTTTTTATATATAATACCATAACGCAATTCAACCTATGCTGGTAAGTGTACATTTAGAGTGAAGTGGTTATCTATCAAGAAGCAAGAGAACTGGGAATTTAATTTACTTGCGAACTACATTTATGTGAGAACCTTTTTCAGACCGACTTGGAAAAAATCGAGGATGTTCTACTCAGGAAGATGTCTCTCAGCGATCACCCCATAAATTTTCTTTTACCAAAATCTTCAACTTGTGAACATAACTAWWATCTGCGGTCCGGCAGTAAAACTAGAACCATAATGTATGCCGATAAGACCGGTTGCCGGACCCAGCGTTCTAGCTCATTTATCACCTTTAATAGCAGATACATGTAAATAAATAGATAAGTATAATGTATATATATATAGATAGATAGATCATAATGATACAGCCTTTTGCAAAAATTATGAGAATTGTTGAAATATCTAAAWATCATAATATCGAGTGCATGATGGGTRATCCCGCGCGATGCCCTTAGTTCCTTGTCTTTGTAGTTTAGTTTTTTTTTTGGCGACAGACTTATCCGTAGTTCTGAACATTTTCTCGATGTCAACAATGAATTATTCTAGCAAACCCGCGTGTTCCGGATAATATATGGATATGGATATTATGATATTTAGATATTTCGACAATTCTCATAATTTTTGCAAAAGGCTGTATACTCTTGTTCATACATTTATTCATATATTTTTGTAATCCTTAGACCTTTAATTCAGTTAATTCTGCAATGTGGCAAATAAAAGATTTATTATTATTATTAGGAAGAACGCACGAAAAATTGTTCATGTTGACAGTCATGTTGTACAGCGGATTTTCCTCTGAGTGCACAAAGAAACAATCACTACCAAACTGGTGTTGTACGGGGGCTTTTACTGTATTTGACTTTGCTTTGCGTCATTACTACAGACATGCTGAATAACAAAAAAGATAAACGGCCGTTTTACAACGTAAAACTTTATTTTATTTTCATCTCTCTCTTTTTCCATCAATATAGTAACCGATATGTGCTATCTCATTTGAATAAATGAGGTATTTTTCAGTTTTGCAAATAAAATATTGATATCCGTTCCATGGTGAGAATACATAATGAGCATTTGAAGTAGCTTTCAAACAAATGTAGTAGGTTGATGTTTTTTTCAGGAAACTACTTTCGTTCCGAATTCATAACATAATGCAGTTAGTCTAAATGGTCAAAGTAATTTACGTTCAAATCCGCCTCTGGGGTAAAGTACAATACGTAGGAATAATAAATAAAATGGATATCACTGAGGGGGCAGCTTATGCAGAACAGTTGACTATCACCGACATGATCATAAGTCAATTATATCCTGAATTGCTATCAATTTGTTTTTCCTTAGTAATGCATACGAGGAGATGAGAAAAATGAAAGTGAATTATTTTGGTGTCACGTATAAAACTTCGTATTCTGCAAACAGAGCTACTTTTCTCAACCGCCGAGAAGCGAGAGAAAATACCGGTATTTTTCTCGCTTCTCGGCGGGTGAAAAAAGTAGCTCTGTTTGCAGAGTAAAAACTTCGTTATAAGTGGTTTAAATTATACTGAAAATGTTTGATGACGAAAAATGGCAGATTCGCGATCGAAAATTGTTTTATTAAACCGGCTTTAATGGTTGACATCTATATATGTGGAAACTCTTAAAATGTTATTCATTACAGCTAGCTAACTCCTGCTGAATTACCCTATCGCATAATGACGTCACAACATGTTTACTGTGGGAATAAATACTCCGAGAAACAGTGGAAGTTTAGACGTGAATATTATCTAGTTTTGATACCTTGTGTATCACGATACATTTGCTATGAAATCCTTTCATATTGTCTTTTTGGCGACCATAATCCCTAGCGTTAATACAATAGAATGCTTTAGTGTGACGTAATTATGTTATAGGGCAGTTTGAGTGCTATATTTTTCAAAATGGTTAAAAAARTTTTCTCAAATTGTTTCAGATCGGATTATGTGGCTTTGAAGTACAACCAACTCCTTTGCTCGTAATATCCAGTAAAAAACAGCGTTTGTGGTGCACGTGCATGTCTAGAAAATACACAAAAAGACGAGTAAAATGTAGTAGTCTGGGTGGGGACGGTGGATGAGGGGCTGATGGATATGATTCTCTTAGTAGTGGTGAGTAATAAAACATAGGAWAAAATAWGGTAATTTGCGGCGTCTACAGCCCTTGTCTTCGAGGTRGCTTTTCTATTCACATCAGCATTATACCTGCTGAAATCAGGCGTTCGACTTTTTTAATTACTCATTCTCAATAACTAATGGTATCCTTAGTTTTAATACATAATGTGCCKGAATATAGTAGCTTTCTCAGCTATTTTAAGAACCCAACGATTAAATTAAAAATATTATTGTCTCATTCGCTCAATAATATTTTCATTGAATAATGGGCGCAAACTGCAGGATATCAGAACCTCACGTCACGCGGTTAATGGTATTTTCCAATCAGTCAAAGTAAAAGCGCTCATGGCGTTTCATCTCTTTTGTTGACATAGGTCATAAACGTAGGAACAAGTGGAGCACTAGTGGAGGGTAATACAAACTTTGCTTCATCATCATCTTTAGGGGGTATGTAAATGACATTTCTTTTCTTGTAATCAAATAAAAGCTCTTCTTCGCTCAAACTTGAATATTCATCTTCATCACTAAAGTTGGACGTGGGCTCAATATCCCCAGGGAGTATTTCCACGGCACCAGTAGGTTGCGCAAGAGTAAATATAAGACAAGAAAGAATGCTTGTCAAACCAAAAATACGAAATGCTACATTTGTTTCCAGTCTTTCAATCAAAATTCCGCTCAATATGGCGCCCARTGTTGTTCCAATACCCAGGTAGACCCCCTGGACGATAAATATACCCACCGGGTATGTTGACCTCGGTGTGTAATTAATGATGTACAGGATAAATGCTGACCATGCCGTAGAGTGCGAAAACCCCTGTAGGAGTTCCACAGATGGGATAGCCCAAGCAGACGTTGGAGTAGCCAGCGACGAGAAAAGAAGAAATCGCATTGCATAAGATGCGAGTCCACTGAAAACCATACCGATATATCCTACGTATTTCATTAAAATAGGAGCCGATAGAGCCAGAACTGAATCAGAAATATTCTGACAGATGACTGTTATACCTACGTTTAGCTCAGAACCTCCAATTTCTATGATGTTCCAATAAAGAAAGTTAGATAAAACACCCCGATATGTCCCCATTASAAAAACTACCCCMAAAAATCCCATGTGTCTCTGCACGCAGAGCTCCCTAAGTGACTGAAAAAYRTYAAAACTTTTTGCCYTCGTTCGTTTGAACGAAAAATGCAATGAAACAAAAAATGCTGATATCATTAAAACTGTGAAAATTGAGAAGGCAATTCKATAATCACCGTATTCCTTGCCACATATGACGTATTTTGGACTAAAGTCAAGAAAKGCCCCAGAAATCAACGCCARGACCCCCACACCTACAGAACTGTAGATACCGCTTTTGGGTAACTTTTCGAAGAGGACACCCATAGGCTCCAAGAATGTTCCGACATGGTGAATATTCACGTCGTCTGTTGGAGCTTGAAAGAATTCTCCTAGTAATACTAGGAAGAAGAACTCAATGAAAATTGAAGTAGCGTAAGGATTCGCTCTGCTGTTGACATAAGGAGTGCCACGTGACTTGAAATCGTAAGGTTTACGGACGTTTTTGTACGGTTTGTTATGRAAAGTTAATCCCATCAGACCAAAACTATTAGGCAGTGGTTTTCCAATTGAAACAGATCTTTCGTTTTTCTTTGATGTCATCGATGACGCAGATCTCTTCTCTCGCCTTTTTTGAGAACTTGTACTCAAATACTCTTCATTATCCTGCCCGGAAATGTCTGCTTTTACTTCGGTGTGGCTGGATTTGATTTCATTCGGTGTAATCCAATAGTAAGGTGTATCTCTCTTGAACTCCTTTTTCAAAGTATCATTCAAAAAGCGTGTTGTATTTTGTCTTGAAGTGTTCAATAAGGGTTTTTCGACCTGGAGGCAAGATCCGTCGTGTCCGTGACTGACAAATCCGATCGGTGTAGTGAACACAATCCAACCAATTAGCGAAACCAACAGCAAAGATTTTCGAATTTTATAACGGTTTGACGCGAGGCACCAAAAAGTTCCACTAAATAATGCGACTAATGGTCGCAGTCCTCCTAATAAGCCTATTTGCCATGGATTCAAACCCACAGATCGATAGTAGATGTTGAGRAASGGGAACAATGATCCYAGCGCTCCATAGAACAGATAATAATATACACTTGGAARACATCTTTTGAGRTGTTCTTTGCTAATTCTCCACTTTCCACTACGATGTATTTTCTGAATCATGATCTCTTTAAAGCGCTGCAAATATAGTTTTCCTATTTAAATCGATGTCTAGTTGACGGTTAAACTCTGCGTATCATGTCKTCTCGCTTGTGTACATCACGAGGCTGTTGAGAGATAGATGRGTTTTGAATATTGGTAAGTTGGAAGTGGTGTTTGTTGATATCTCCAACGTCACAAACGGCTGATTAAACTAAACGTCGGTCAATTTCCTCGGTCGACCCTCCTGAGAGGATAAGCGTTGGCGTGCATCCCTATAAACCTACGTAAAATGGAAATTGTACTTTATGGATGAATAGAATACTTCTGCTGTCTATTTTCGTCGTTTGCAAGTTGGAAATTTTTCTCGAGGTAGTTTGGTTGCCGTGCAGCAAGCCTATATTCGTTATTCATGATTCTGATGGCTCATGGGAAGTATTTAAATACTCGCCCACAGTGAACTTCAAAAACGTCGAAAATTTGTTTTGATTTTGTCTTAAACTGTCGGCTATAAGAGYAATTATTTGTAATACCAGTGTGATTTTCAACAGACCCCGCTTGAAGGCCCTCTAATACACTAGTCAATAAAGAAATACCCTTCCCTCTGACGAAAGCTAAGCTTCACACAGTTAACATATGTAAATTTACACTTGTCAACTCCTCAAAGACAAACAACAAAACAAAATTCTTCCTTTCGTTTGTTTTGACTTAGATATCTTTAGTCTTTTACAGTAAAAAAATTACAAGGCCACAGAATATCAATTATTAATAGTCTACTGAAGAGCAGAGAGTAAGTCAAAGGTTTCTATTAGCAACCTAAGATCACCTGATATAGGACGGATACAATCAATTCTTTTTCGAAAATCTAAACAAGTGACGCTGCCACCATTGATACAGCTAGAGTGCGTCTCGACAGCTTTTTCCTCCTAGGTTTATTGCGGAACTGAGTTGGCAAATTTCTACCCGGTCAAAGATGACCGAAAACTGATTTTGAGGTTTTAAGGGTAATATTTTCTAGTGACCRAAATACCATAAGAAATCTAATTGCATTACTTATTCAGTTGTTATCTTGTAAGTTAGGATAAAAAATGGACGAAAAAATTCCGTCAACTCTCCTCATTCAACATCAATTCTCATTTTTATCGTTCCAAGTTAGAAGAATTTATTCGCTGTGMCAAGAGATAGACCTTAAATAGTCTTACTTGTATTAATGTCATTACCCAGTTAAAAAAACTGTCCGTTAAAAAAAAAACTATCATTTAAAAACGCTGTGTAGTTTTGTATGAAAACATGACGGTGTCGATTTATTGTAAATATATTTTAGAGCAATTAACATTATTGATTTTTGACGTTGGAAAACACTCTGCTATTTCAGTGATATTTGTATTTATTGTCTGGCTCATTTATTTTTCATAAACCTGTGCCTAAGTTCATTGAGCGCTAGATGAAGTGGTGTAATGTTTTTGTTGTTTGTTTTTTTAAACCAAAAAWTGATAGTCAAGAATTGATTACTAGATTATTATTTACATAGTGAAGATCTGGTAACTAATGATTGTCACCCTAATTGTTTCATGAAGGTAAAAAATTATGCCAAATACAACATTCAGTGCGCATGTGAACATATCTGCGCTTCAAAACCTCGTGGACTCCCTGTTTTACATGTAATGAATGATACGTTACATAATGTTTGCTAGAGCTATTGTAGCTATGACGAGAGACAACAAAATTACTTCATTGTTTCAAAATAACTGTGACTTCGTAAGTCACTTGAGAAGCGTGACTCAAATCAGAATTTTGTATAGATCCAGCAGATTCAAGCAAAGTGTTCCATGTRTATTTGAAGTTCTGGAAAGAAAAACAAAAYGCACAATGGAAAAATATTAACTGAAAAATTTAGTTTACTAAATAAAAATTTAGTTTACTAAATAAAAATTTAGTTTATTAGAAAATAATTTTAAACTCAGTGCATCTAGGCTATGACATCATAGTAATGTTTATTTTTAGGTTTCGGTGTCACGTGACTTAGCTGACGAGCAGGGACTGTGACGCTATCCTTCTCAAATAAAAAATACAACATCATTTTTGAAAGCAGAACTCAATATTTTAGAAATTTCTTAACAACACACCAAAATGAACAGACTTTTTGGAAGAGGAAAGCCTAAAGAACCACCACCAAATCTTACAGATTGCATCTCGAACGTAAGTGAGGGATAATTTCGTGTTGTTGAGCGAATTTTCTCTAAAAATGGCGGAACTATTTTCAGGTTGACAGTAGAGGAGAGTCCATAGAAAAGAAAATCAGCAAACTAGACCAGGAATTGTTGAAGTATAAGGATCAAATGAAGAAGATGAGAGATGGTCCCTCAAAGGTAAGCCTGTGGGTTTGTATTTTTTCAGAAAARTAAGGTTAAATTGATGTCTGGTTCTTTTGCATTGATTGACTTCATCGTAAACAGAAGTTTACGTAGTTACTTCGATATCCAAAAGAAGATTTTACTAACTATAAGATTTCACTTGTTTAGAACATGTTAAAACAAAGGGCATTACGAGTCCTGAAGCAGAAAAAACAGTAAGTGTAGTAGTACACAGGAACCCCATACATAAAGCACACTGTTCACAGCCTGGATCATCATGGCATAGTGATCACTCCTTGCTTGGCAAGTAGGATAATGAACTGAGAAATGGCTACATTACAGTGTGGTCTCTGCATCCCTCTTTTCATGTGTTCCAAACGAAATGTTGAACATCCAGTTATTGCCATATTGGGGATTTATGGATATGTAATTTATTTTTCTCAAGATATGAAAGTCAACTAGAAGGTCTACGACAGCAGTCTTTTAACATGGAGCAAGCTAACTTTACCACACAGACATTGAAAGATACCAAAATCACTGTAAGTAAGAATGTTATAATATTATGTACAATGTAAAGTTGCATTGGAACTCAAGAATTTACAACAACTTTGAGTGGAATATCTGTTGATTGTGTGCCCACATAGTAAATTTATATCCTTAGGGCAGACAAAAAAGTAGTGCAAGTTTATTCATATCCATTTATTGTAACATAGAGGTTTAAACCTTCATCCATAACTATATGGGCCTTAATGCATTATCATGTATCCTTCACTAAAATCCTCCACTTCTTTTCACTTACTCTGTATTACTCTGTACCAGTCCCCATGTCTTGTGTTCCCCCTAGTCCCATGCTCTTTCCATAGGAAGTTAAAGGGAGAAAGCAAACTAGGTTAAATTAATGGACTTGATGTTCTTTGTTTTTAGGTTGATGCAATGAAAGTTGGTCTTAAAGACATGAAAAAAGAATTCAAAAATATAAATATTGATCAAATTGAGGTAATAAAATCAGGATTGATATAAAATTGTGTATTGTGTAAAATTAAACTACAAACACATCGTTTGTTTTCTGCTTTTTAAATTTAACAGGATTTACAAGATGACATGTCAGATATGATGGAACAAGCATCAGAAATTCAAGATGCGCTGGGGAGAACATATGGGCTTCCTGATGACATTGATGAGTCTGATTTAGATGCAGGTATTTATTCACATTATAATATTCTTTTGACTTTTATATTTATTGGTGTGCTAGTGTAGCAGTCCCTAATTAGGACAGTATGGCCACTTCTTCATGTAATAATACCAAAAGGTGTTTCTGTCAAATGCAGGCTATACAAGAATAGACCYCTGAAGCTTTTACGTCATGTACCGTATACGCAATGCAATGTAGGACATGTTTGGTACAGAAACTGATCCCACAATGCATTGAAAATCATTGGGTGACGTAAAAGTCTATTAATGCAAAGATTCATCTTTATTTTAGAACTAGAGGCCCTCGGTGATGATCTTCTTCAAGATGAAGACACTTCATACTTAGATGAAGTCAGTGCACCAGCAGCACCTGATACTATCCCAGGAGAAAAAGACGGCTCCAAAACCCAGGTACATTGCATGTCACAGTTGTATACGGACTGAAAAGACTAAAAACACTTCAGTCAAAATGGCTGTAAACTAGTATGAGCTGCGCCGGTGTGTAAAAAGATCAATTCAACACCGTACAAAGCAGGTGAAACAACTTACTTATGTCAGTAAGTTGTATCACCTACTTTTTTACGGTATTAAATTTATCTTGTTACACAACTGTAAAATCACTTTATGCTCATGATTTAATGTTGTTTTCACCAAAACTGTTGTTTTGTTTATCCGTGAATCAGTGATGAAGGTCATGTACCAGGATATATGTCATTCACTCTTACTAGCTGTTTAGCCTTGAATGCTAACTAATATTTATTGGTTACTGTAAACTTGTGACAGGTCAGCACATATGCAAACATTTGTTTTTAAAATTTGGACTTTTCTGTCTCAGTTTCTTGATGTGATCAACTGTGTTTTATGGAGCAATACTAGCATACTCTGTTGTCCAAATGATATATGAGATATTTGAGTAAAAGATAAGCTCAGGAGTCCATTACGGCTATTGACAGAGGTCGTTAAAGCAAGCTTTGAAGCATTTTGTTGTTTTCTGTTTTTGAGTAAGACTGGTGCAAGTTCCTTTGGCCAATAAGCACACTTGTTACAGTTAAAAAATAAACAGACAATGAGAGTGAAGTACATATATCCTGGTACACAGAWTACRATCTTTGACTCTGACAGTATTTATTCATTAGATAACAATTTGATTATTAATTTCATGAATTGCYTTTTGTTAGTCAGCTAYGTTAGTTAACTCTTCTTTATTATCTTTCATTAGGATGGCATCCAGGTTGATGAATTTGGACTTCCTGTTCTTGCTAAAAATTAAGATAATTCTAGTTTACCTGCTCAAAAAATGTCTGTTTTCCCCGGTTTATATTTGTGTATGTTGCACTGAAGCTGCATTTATTATACGTAGACTGCCCATATGGACTGAATGCTAAAAAATTGATTTTTTTATATGAAATGCTGTACGATAAATATTGTTATAGTATCTCTGTATAAGGGGAGTAAATTAAACTTTAGGCAAAAATAAAACTCTAACCAAAGCTTCACTGTACTTTCTAATGCACAGTTGGTACAATATCATAGTACCGTGTTAGAWATATCATGTAATGATTAAKTATTTTAAAACAAAAGAGAYRCTTCAATATTATACAGTCTAACACRCAYTACRCAAATGTGAAGTGAAAATACCAGCTTTAAGCAAAAAAAGTGTTGATCTTTTGTATCTGTTGATATATTGTATATTTGCACTCAGCCAAAATTCAGCAATATTGTAAYTAGGTCTATCCAGTTTAATTACAGTAAATTTTACTAGGTGGAATCTATGATATGAGGCAACACAGCTTGTAAATTTAACAGTGTATGGAATTTATCAKTAAAAACGTTTTAAATGATATCAAKAGTTGCATTTTAATAACAATCCAACAACGYAACGGATTTCTGCGGATTCCGGATTTTGATGGATTTCAGATTTCGTTTTGGGCAACAAAAAATGCACCATAAAAAAGAGTGGAAAGATGACTAAGACACATTATTGAAACCACGCCCAAACCCTCGGGTAAAATATATATGTTCTCGAAGGCTCTCTAAATCGAAATTGTATTTCCGAGGTTTAAAACTACTACTCACTACCCCCTACTTGATTCAGCCTTCGCTGGCGGTTTTGGCCCAACCAAATATGATTTCGGGGTCCCTTAGAGGCCTAAAAAGGCGTGGTGCATACGTGGTGCATAGGTGAATAGAAATTGGCGGGAAAACAGCGGAGAATTTGCGCACGCTCAGCACGCGGTATCTTTTTTTCAACTGAAAACGAAAGGTGTATAATATGAAGTACTTTGAAAGTGGACCTAATTTCACGTATTTAAGAGTTATGATTTCTCAGTCAGCGTATTTTTATGGAAATSCTAGCTTAATAAATTCACATCAACACTTTTCTGTAGGGCTCAAAGATAAGCWTCTTTTCATGGAGTTGAGGCAGAGTTTCTTCAGCGGAATTTATCCACGACAGAGTCATAATGTAAGTTACTAAAAAGAATTACCATTAATTGTTTACCTTGATAAACAATCAAATCCTACTCATTTTGATTCAAAGAAGATAAGTTTAAATGAAGTCTTTCTCAAAAGATGAGTAACTTAAAAAAAACAATGGCTTCGTTGAAGAAGTTTATTGAGCTTGCTTGACATGAGAGAATTGGTTCCCTGCTTTCACAGTACACCTCAAGCATCACTCATCTTTATTGCATTCAGAAAATTYTCACACAGATTCTCTTTATAGTTCATTGTCTTATTTTTCAGTCGATTAGTCAGGTTCCGATAATTACACAGGGAGCCCAAGCAATAACTTTGCCCGTAACGCTGATTGCGTAGTGGCTCACCTCTTTCCTAATAAGGTCCAATACAGGGTGAAACAGCTGTCTATGGTTTCTAATAAGTGTTGTCAAAGGGCAAATAGCTGTTTTTTTTTTTTGCTGTAGGCAAGCCTTACCTATATGGTCTAAAGTTCTCAGACAGGGTATCTCAAATATCTCAGGGTACTCCCTCCMTCCTCTCCTCCAATGATGRTCTGAAACAATTGCTGGCTAAGTTTTTTAGCCATGTGTAATCAGCAAAGGCTAACCCTGATTTACTCAAATGTCACAAAATTCAAATTGAAAAATTGTTTTAATTATAATTGTCTCAATTAGGAAAGAAGGATTTTTCATTTTTAAAGAGAATTGAAYAAGTTCAAGATAATTTTACTAGGGATTTTACACAACTAAGAAAATCACTCAAGCACAACCAGCCTGGCAAATATSAAAATAATTGGCTATTAGTTATTGTGAAATAAACTGTAGCTGGTTAGCCAGATTCCAAGTGTGAAATTACAATGTTTATATTAATGTTGAAAGACATACAGTAGGGCGAGTTATCCCTTTCCAATGCATACATATCTACATATGTATGCAAATTGGCTGTTTTTTACAAAAACATGAGGTACACTGTTAGTCATCCGGAAGCTACGTAGCCTAGCCAAATTTTTAGGATAATTTGTGATCATTGAAATGAGGAAATGTCTGAAAATCCAGTCACAACCAAAAKGTCTAGTTGAAGTGCTATAACAATGGATTCCACAAAATGATGATTTTGATTATGGTAGTTGATGAATGAGATAAGACTGAAGTCATGGCACTAGTATATCTATAGTTTAAATATCAAAATAGATTTAATTAATGATAATATTTATCAGTGAATTWATAAATTATGAACTTGATACACATTTATCAAAAACATGTCACCATAATATAATCATTAACATAATGCATGATAGTGTTGTCTAAAGCAGTTATTTTGTGAGATAACTAAGAGAGATTAACTGAACCGCACACTTGAAAAGTACTTCTCTAAAATGCTAAAATAATGACCCAACATGAAATCTGGAATTCAATTACAAGGTCAAATCATTAATCTGTTTGGTTAAGTAAAACTTATGAACATCCTATTTATCAATCATGTTTTATTGCTCTTTGAAGAATACTAAAAAATTCAACAACTTCAGAAAGGCACTGGCTGTTTAGTGTACATGTCCAACAACAATCTCTTCATCTAGACACAGGAATGAGTCTGGAGTGTTACAGGAGTGTATCAGGTTTCAAAAGCAATTATCTAAATTCCAAAGCATTTCAATAGAGTTATGTGTTCTTGTCGCTGTCTAAAAAGATCAACAACTTAATCCTAACTAAACATGAGAAGAAAAAGCTCTTAGCACATTGCTATTGAACAAACTTGGCGGTTTAATAATACTACCTAACAAAGGCTAAAACTTTTTGGTTTGACTGGCTTGAGAGGTAAATCAGTCGGTAATGAAATCACAATACTTGATTGGAATGAACTAACATTTTRAACAATCATATTAAAAACTCTTTGTCTTTTATATTTATACAGCTATAAATATTACAGTAAACGCAAAGTATTTTTAATGAATTTATTATTTACCAAACTAATGATATTTGAACTTCGATATWATATGAGGACAGAGCCTCAAGTACAATTAAAATTCCTATATGTCATTATCTATGAGAGAAACATTAACACTTCTAAAAAAAAACTTTACATGAGACAAAACTGAATTAAAAAGTCAAAATATGGTAATCTATCTCGACTCACTTGTGTGGGTTAACCTAGACCCAGAGGTTTCAACTCTTCTCTCTAAWGCCATAGTTAAGCTGAATTGAGAAGAGAACAAACATCTGGGGCCAGTGTAGGTAATATATACCCCAGTATAAATTTAGCAAACGTARCTCTAGTATTACACCGTGTGTTGCTATGATTATAAATGATTGATAAAGTGCTTTGAGATTTAAATAAGTGTTATTTTATGGTCTATGTTTGTTAGATGTGACCACAAAGGTTTTGAAGTAAAGCATGTTCTTTCTCAGCTGTTAGTACTTCTTAACTGTTCACGATACCTTACTTCTAAAGTATACCTCAAGCATTAAAACAAKGAGTAAAAGATTTTACTGCATAATTATTTAAACTCTTGAAATAAAAAAAATGAAGCAAGGCTTTCAAGCTTATTCAGTGGGATGGGCTAATTCAAGATCTCTCAAACACTTTGGTTGCTTTAATTTTAAGGACTTTAAGGACATGTCATGTTGTATTCATAGCTTTTGCCTATGTAAACATAATGCCYCCAACAAAATGCAAATTAACAAAGAGTAATACAATTCCTTCAGTGACAGAYCATTGTTGTATACAGAGCCACATCATGGTCTACCTCTGATAACAATGTTGGCATAATGATTGGTTGTCTTGCCTCATTACTTTCTTAAACGTTTTATTTATAAAAATCTTCTTGACTATAAGAGCCATTAAAATACTAGTAATTAAAGTGTTTTCACGACCGTGCTTACGTTTTACACGTACGGATTTGTTAKCACCCAAATCCTACAAGCCCCTTTAAAGTGTTCGCAGTGTTAAGCCACTTGGAATAAAACTGCATTGAAAAGGTCAACAGAAAGCTTTTGTATGTGCTTCGTTTTAAATTGATGATAACTTCACGTACTATATATTCTTACATACAATAAGTTATACATATCTCTATGYATCTGTATACACAGAACTACGCTTTGGAAAATTTATGACAAAATTATCTCGTGATCAATAATCATTACACCAAAGATACAAAAAGCTTATGTCTAATAAACTTTATAAGACAAAGAAAAATCAGCATGGCACTCTTAAACATATAAGAAATTTTCCAAAAGTGTACTTCCTATAGTGAAACGTGAGGTTGAAACATTCGGAGGAAATTCAATGCATTCTCTTGCTGTGTGCAGAATGCATAAAACTATTGTTTGCTCCTTAGGAAGCGGACGCATTACTTCTTTCAAAAGTTCTTTGTGCGGAAACGTTTGAAGTTCATAGCCAAAGTTGATGAATGGTCTTGTTCTTGACTGTGTTTTGTTTTCTMAGTTTTTCATGAAACGACAACCTCTTTGTTTCCAAAATCTTGCTTCATACTTTTTAGTGGTATCATTGTCGATCTCTTTAGGCATCCGTGACTGTGTGCCTCACACTTCGAAAGTTAGTGTGATTATATAGATCTTYTTTACATCTTTATACTTTGATTGGTAATGTCTGGCTAAAATGTAAATCACACACTCGATCGATTCCCTGTGAAGCAACGGAATGCTCGATGATAGAACCTCTTCCATGAGCTTAGAGTCTTACTTGACCATATCCAAAAACCTGATGTAATGCCAACGATGAGAAACATTAAATACTTGACCATAAACACGGTAAAGTCTGGCTTTTGCACAGGCAGCGGATAGGTTGGACAAGAAATATCTTTGTTTAGACCTTTAGTAATTTCTTGACACTCTTTTTGACGTTTCCAAGCTTCAAACCATGAATTATCCCATCGTGCTCTGTTTGATTGTTCGTAGAATAAACACCCAATAACAACTACTGCTGGTACGGTGTATAATATCGAGAAGACACCTATTCGAATCATAAGCTTCTCGATCTTTTCTCGCTTGCTATAATCATCTTTTAAAACTGATCGCACACGAAAAAGTGACACGAATCCCGCAAGAAGGAAAGTAGCTCCTATGATGAAGTACACAAACAGCGGTGCCAAAACATAACCACGGAGCGCGTTGACATCAGAGATCCCAACGTAGCACACTCCACTCAATTCATCCCCCTCTACTTTGGTCATTAATAGAATAGCAATAGTCTTGACCGCTGGGATGGCCCATGCCGCTAARTGAAAGAACTGAGAATTTGCCTCGATTGCTTCTTGCCCCCATTTGAGMCCGGCCGCTAGAAACCACGTAACTGTCAGAATGACCCACCAAATAGACGAGGCCATACTGAAGAAATATAGCATCATAAAAATCACGGTACATCCTTCGTGTTTCGTCCCTTGTACTAGAGTTTTCCCAAAGCCTGGTTTGAGTGGCTCATTACACGCGATGTTATCCCCAGCGACAAACGCCGCGATGAAGGCGATAGAAACCATAAAATAGCATCCAGAGAGAAAGATAATCGGTCTTTCAGGGTATCGAAAACGCCGCATGTCGATCAGAAATGTTAATATCGTGAATAAAGTTGACACCGCACAAAGAATTGCCCATATTCCTGTCCACATCTGTGCTATCTTTCGTTCAGCGTCTGTAAAAAATACATTCTTACACGGAGATGCGCAGCGTTTCACTCCGTGAAAGACATACTGATCGTTGCCAATCTTTTGCTCTTCTGGACAGATATACCTCATCTTAGTCTTGTCTACAGTAACAATGGTTTGGTTTGTGTCAACTTTGTCAGTTGGGTTGAGTTCTTTGCTGATGTTCGTTCCAATACACATTTCTTCCCCAAACACTGGAAAGTTGCTGCATTTTAGAGAGATTGGCCATGTAAACCCGAACCTGGCCATCAACTTTTCACAACCGTCCCGAGCGCTCTCACACAGATGTCGACAAGGCGGCAGTGGAATCTCCATAATCGTGCACGGCGGGGCATATACAGAACACAGAAAGAACGCTAAATCATTCGAACAAGCGACTTTCACAAGAGGAAAGAACTGATGTACTTCGAGACCCGCTTCCTCCTGTGTCCGATGCTTCAACAAGTTTGGGTAAATAGTAGAATTATAGCGTAGGCCTCTGCAGAGAGGTATTGACACTGGTTCACACTGCTTCTTGAACATTAAACACGGTTGTAGAAAGCCTAAAAGCGTGACCAACATCAAAGCCAAGGCCATATCTCTTTGAGATCCTTCGGCGAGCCAAAATCAGACTGAAATATACGCTTAAAACTTGGTCAAAAACAGACAAGTTTACAACACAGTTATTCACCTCTTACTCTCCCATGTCAATGTCTCTTGTTGCAAACGAAATTACCATTGCGACGRAATCAGAGCTTCTGATTGGTCAATATCAGACGAAATGTCAGGGGAGTACAGAACGCYACTTGATTGGTCGASGAACAATGAAAAGACCCTAATCACGGATAAAACAACATTCAGGTGTGAAGCATTTTACCGGAAGCGTGAGTGCGAAAACTAAATCCATGGGTGAAGATATTGATCACGACAAAATCTTATTGGTTGATCAGCGTCGTTATAAACCGTGTACGATAAATATGGTTCTCGGCGTAATGAGAAATGTCCGCATATGAAATGAAAGCATATGGAAAGTTCATTATATCGRTTCCCCCTCGCTGTTCTTTTGTGATTCTTAGCCGCAGCGTTCGATGGATGATTTGAGATGAAATAATCAACACCAATTGTGTTGTTTCTTCGTCAGCAGGCGAGTGTAATGGTATTGCCTTCCTCTGGCTGAATGGTTTACCTTTTGCGATAAGACTTTCTATTGTMCTTTTTTTAAAGCAAAGCTGTGTAYATTCCTTTTGGATGTGATGCCGCTTTAGATTCCCGCAGGTTCCCTTTATCAACTAACTTGACAAAGGGAATAGTGATTTTACTAAATGTTTAATGCATTTTTATTTTCTCCCAGTCTTTGGTTTGATGAGCGTTGGTTGTATACCACCCTGGTGTGTGAGGAAAATACGGAACTGACAACGCCTTAATTCTTTCCCTCAAGTGTTTTCATCTGGACCACTTATGATGTAGTAGTTAGTGAAAAATAATAAATAATATTTGTCGTTGTTTGAAATATACATCGTGGCTCCTCAAAGATGACCTTCTGATCTCAAAACGCTAAAATATCATCATTCGCCAAGCAAAAAARGGGTCATGTCACATGGATGGAAAGTATATGTTGAAAGAAAATCCTCTTCGTGTTAGAATGTTCGTACATATGGCTATAATCATTTTACTAGCGCATAAACACCGGAACAATCTTCCGATCTCATCTTCCCCTGCACGTGGAAGAGATCGTCGTTGTCTCGTCCGGATGATGGTCAGTGAGTGGCTCTTGTTTCTGAGACCAATCACAGAGTCAACGGATTAGCGGCGGAAAGATGTGCTAGGCTTATCAAGACAGTTCTTTTATTCATAAACAGCTTAACCTCTCCTAATATTCTACCAATCACACAACAATTTCCCACAATTTCTATTTTATCTCGAATAAAGHTAATAATGAAAAAATTACACTGAAATGGGAGAGGACGCGAGACTAATAGCAATCACAATACCAAAATGATGYTGAAAAACCGATAATGTAATATTGTGGCTTAAAAATAAGACAATTTTAATTCATCATTATTATTCTTTTCACATTGTTTGAGATCTCTGACTCGTACCGCAAGGTGGTATGTTGGACCCCCGRTGAGCGCAAACTATTTTGCTCAAAACCTCCTGCAGTGCCTTATTATTAAACGACCGCGACGCGAGGTATAATTGCATGCTACTTGCAAATGGATGGCGGATTTTTCTTGCCTTCTTAAAAACATCAATAAATAACACCTAGAGAGTTCAATATTTTGTCGTTTTAGAGAGCTCATAATCGATTTCTCAAGCCGACATCCTTATTAGCGGCTTGAATCTCGTTACTCGAAGCCATAAGTACATTGGTCGTTCAGACCCCATACAATTATTGTTTGGATTTCATTAGAAATGCTGTGTATTGCCTGAGTCATCTGTGTGTGTATATGTTAAAGAAGCTCAGTTGTTGCACAGAGGGTGTGCAGTTGGCATTGTTTGCACATATTGCATGTAGTGGCATACCTATACAACTCTCATCAGGGGCGTGACACATTAATGTRATCTTTATTCCAGAGGAGAGTAGCGTGATAAAACTGAAATAGAATTATAAATGAGTCACTTGACTGTTGAGTGTTGCGGGAATTTTCAACTCAGGCCCTTAGGGAGTCAAATATTAAGGTTGAGGCGTTTGGAGACTGTTCTGATTTTATTCTATACAACATCTGCTTTTTTGGCTCGTGACARGCTGTTTACATTTCAAAATCGGCTTTTAGGACATGATAGATAGTATATCGGTAACTGTAGGCATTTCCTGGTTTACGACAGAGCGCACGTTATTCTCATACAAATGATGATGATTGATGAAAATACCTTAAGCATGAATAATTAATAAAAGTGATGATGATATTTATAATACTGATCAATGCCATGATGACTAGAGCTAGTGTAGTTTTCTTTACGTTCTCTCATAGTGGCCATTCAAAGTACTCTTGAATAGTCTGCGCGCGGCCGGTTCACTAAAAGCACTTAATTGAAAGAACTGCCAGGAATGACTTTTCCATGTCCGGCGTAAAACTATYGCTTTTGCGTGTATCCTTTTCTATTCAGTACTCGCCTTGCTTAATAATCATTTAGAAATGACTTTTTATATCTTTAAGGCATAATCAATRTCTTTGCATTTAATCAATCATGAGCTGGGAGTACTGGATTGATGTTTTATATGCTTTACGTTAAGTACCTGATCTATTATAAAGTAGGATTACGRAAGCAATGTATTTTCGATTATTTTCGTGGTTGAACTGTGACTTCTGGAAAATTATTGTAGCAGTAGTGTAATACGTCCTTCGGGTTTTAAWGCTTTGAAGGGCTTGTTGCCGTATGATACTGGCAAAAGTAGCCAGAATGCCATAACACTTATGATTATACCATAGAACAATACGTACAACAATTATATGCTGCTAGTCAGATGGCGACAAAATCTCGAGACGAATCAGTCTATAATACAGACCTGACTTTATCAACCTTGATATAAACAGCATAAATCAATCTTTTTCTTGTATAAATCACTCTTCATACACTTCCGCCCGACGTTGAATGAAAAATATCGCAATATACATACAAAATGATTTTCTAATCGACTAAATACACTTTGTACAAAATATATCATGACTAATGATTTGGATATGATGTGGTTTCCCACTGAAGCACTTGGTACATATATTAATCCAATCCATATCTAATTCAAATAGATTAGTCGAGATTAGGAAAGGGAATAGGTGACCACCGAATTCTAACTATTAGTATAACTCGGAAAACCTCGGAAATCGTCAATGAACCTCTTGATGGCCTAGCGTCGATCTTGGTCGAGGGGTGGGTTAAAACGGAAAGGGAATCTACAACCTCGCTCACTAGAAACGCATGTTGTCATCCTTATTGATGACGACATGACCACGCAATTTAGGGAATCAGTACACCATTACAGTCCTTGTAGMTTCTGCCTTTGAAAATATCAATCCAATTTTCAAAATCTTTTTTTCATTTTATAATCAAATCCACGAAATCCTGAAATACATTTTCATATAATTTTATTCCGCCCTTTGCTCTCAGTGGATTAGGAACAAGCGATTTTATAGGATTTCATCAGCCACGGATGATTAAAGTGTTTTTAGTTTTGATATATCTTCTAAATCTTTGAAAATGTGATCACTAGTGTAAATCTTACCAAATCGTCTTCTTACTGACGTCACGTCTGTTTATTGGATGGAGGTACTCCCCCGACACAAGCGCGCCGTGCCTTGCTCAGCGCGAATGCTCCTTTAAACAGCAAGGCGGTGTCGGCGTTGCTGATGAAGTGCACATTGGTAATGCATATTCGAAAGCATAACTTTTGAGTGCAAACGCTGGTAAGACTGTCTTCCGAAGTCCATATCAGTAGCCCATTCACGGTTTTACGCGACATATTTTGAGACTGCGTCTTTGAACGGGTAAAGTGCGATCGAGACTAACAATGAGTGCAAATATAGATGTCTGTGAAAACTTAGTGTGAAAGAAACTATCAATCGTTGTATCGGACCTCGATCTTTAATAAGTAATCAAATCAGCACACGCTGCATTGTGGTCAGATTCGGTACAAACATCTTTTGCTCATGCGCACGCGAACAAATATGTTGTTATTTGTGCCGAAGCTGGTGCTCTCGTATTTCAGAAAAGATCTACGTACAATCGCCGTGTGGCAAAGGTATGGCTACCTTCCATCGACTTCGGCAAGATGGCGAAGGGAACTATGAAGGAGACCGTTTCGACCTTTTCTGAAAATCGAGAAAAAAAATTACTGATCAAAAAATGATGACAAAATTGCTCGAGACAAAGCGTCTAAGAAAAAAAGGAGAATATAATGACCAATCGTAATCGGCTCAAGAGTGTTTTTACCATTTTACGTGCACTCAAGCGAGGCAGAGGCTCGGCACTAAGTCTTAAAGTGGCTAATCGCTTGTACCGCTGCCACTCCACTCCTCCATGGTTGGAATCACACTGGCATAGTGTCTTTTTATTGCATTATTTGTGTTACAGTAAACAATTATCAACGTTCAACCAATCAGTTTCCTTTAAAATCTTCACTGCTTTTAGATGTGTTGGGTTTCCTGTTCCCTCTACAGGAAGCCCGGTCGTAAGCTCCTTAGTCAGTGTAGTTCTGTGGCGGATCGAATCCCAGTCAGTTTTTTTAGCCTTTTTTTAATTGACGCAATTTAATGCAACTTTATTAGTTTATATTT